TCTGTTTGTGTTGGAAGGCTCTAGGTGGGCCACCAGCCCCGTGTGGAGGGCAGATCCCGGGGGGCTGTTTGGAGAGTGAGCCTGCTGTGCACTCATCCTGCAGCGGTGGCGCCTGTGTCCTGCAGGACTTGGGCTTTGCAACTTGGCACACGGGGTTGCGGTGCCTCTCAGGTTTGGCCTGACAAAGGGGTAGGAGGGTGTGACACAGAAGCTCCTAGGAGAAAGGTCCTTTGTTCTTTGCAAATAACTCTTACTTAGACTTGACAAACTCACTACACCAAACATGTCTTACTCTTTATGGATAAATATCCTGTAACATGTAAGATATCTATGAGAAAGCTTGTAACTTGTCAAGATTCATAATCATTATGAGGTGTATATATGGGGTAATATATAAGGAATAATGTATTTATATTAAAAAAAACAAGGAGGAGTCCGGTGGCACCTTCAAGACTAACAGATTTATTTGGGCATAAGCTTTCATGGGTAAAAACCCATGCATCTGAAGAAGTGGGTTTTTTACCCGCGAAAGCTTGTACCTAAATAAATCTGTTAGTCTTTAAGGTGCCACCAGACTCCTCGTTGATTTTGTGGATACAGACTAACACGGCTACCCCTCTGATACTTTGTATTTATATTGAAAGTATGCTTTATGGATTTGGAGTAACTCCTGGTCACTAGGGGATAATATGTCTCAGTAATGGTTCATTCAGGCAGGAAGAAATTGTCATCCTGCCCTGTTTTGTTGGTGGTGCAATGCATGGCTCAATTGTTTAGCCTTTTACCCAGTCCTAAGAAGTTCATTGGAAAACCATCAGAGACAACTGCAAACAATCAAAATCTCCTGAAGGTATATATAAAAAAGAAAAATTACAACAAGACAGGGGTTTGCCCTGTCTATGAACAGCAACAAAAGACTATTTAATGAAAACATAAGCTGAGGAGACATCCTGAGGAGCAGGAGTGTTCTAATGAAAAATTGGATCCTGTTTCCTGTGAAGCCAGCCAGCTCTGCAGCATACTGAACTTTTTTGGGAAAACCTACTTTATTAGATAGGAAAGGTACTTATTAATAAGTATAGAGACAGGTTTTCATTTTATAGTTTTGTTGTGTATTTTAGCCATTTGTTTCTACCACACCTTCCTGTTTTTGTAGAATCTCTGTTTTTTCTTTTGTTTTATTGCAAGTGCTGTGTGTTACACAAGAAAGGGGGTTTAAGGTAAAACTAGTAAGCTGGGGCACAGTGTTCCTCTGGGGACAGAGGATCTGGGATTTCTGAGAGTATTCAGTGTTAGAGGCTGGATATCCCAGAGGAATGATTCAAAGGGACTCGGTGACAGGGTTGCATCTCTTGTTTAATCTACAAGACAAAGATAGGGCTGGTATAACCCAGAGGAGAGTGCTGAGTATCTGAAAGGCTGGTGTTAGGGCACAGACACCCAGTCAGGCACAGGCAAGATTTCCTCATGCTTCAAGCATGAGGAAAACAAAGTGACCCAAGAACCATCATAGTGGGCCAAACCTGAGTGGCACTGCAACCCTGTGTGCCAGATCACAATGCTTGGGGTGAGTGTTTGTGTGGGGAGCTGGCTCTCAATCTCTGGACCCAGCCTCCTGGGACACAGGAGCCACCACAGTGGGGTGAATGGAGGGTGGGCTTGCTTTCCAGCCCCCTGGCCACATGGGGGGGCCTCCTCATTTTCCCCGGCCAGGGATTAGGGTTGTGGTGCTGGGGCAGAGGGTGTTACTGCAGCTGGTCGCTGCCCCTTTGGCTGTGGTGAGAAGGACACTGACCTACGACTTTAAGAGCTATAGTTGAATTTCATATGTCATGGCATTTTTTATAAAAAAATTATGGAGTGGTAAACCTGTTACTTTTACTAGATTTATTGTGACTGCTTTGTGATTTGTGATTTCTTAAAAAAAAAAAAAAAATACTGTGACAAATTTGCAGCACTACTAATTAACCATGTATTTAACTCATGGAAGTGTGTGTTTATTGATGGATGTTTTGAGTTTCTTCCAATTCTTATGTGATGCTGGCAAACTAGGTGGTGCCAACTCATGCCAAGGGTCCATGCCTCACTTGGATATTGTCAAATATATAGCTGGAATCAGTCTTGTGCACCTGTATGTTAGTATTGTTAAAATAGATATTAGAGTTATAAAAATGTGATGAACGTTTACTTTATTGAATGCTTTTAAATTGCTGCGTGCTCTAATCTCTTAGAACATCTGTATCCCATATTTTAAGGTAATATTTGAGTATTTGAATTGTAAGGCTGTATAACTGTGTAAGGTCTGGTCTACACTACAGAGTTAGGTCGATGCAAGGTAGCTTATATCAACCTAATTATGGAAGTGTCTACACTTAAATGTCACTCCTGCCAATGTAAGTGCCCCCCTATGCTGACTTAATAACTTCACCTCCACGAGTGGCGTAGAGCCAAGGTCAGTGTTGTTATGTCAACACAGTATCAGTGTAGACACTGCATTGCTTATGTTGACTGTTACTGGCTTTCTGGAGCTGTCCCACAATGCCCCACACTGGCAGTACAATTGATACAAGTGATCGTGGTGAGGACGCGCACCACTGACACAAGCAGCAAAGTGTAGACACGCACAAGCGATGTAATTTCTGCCATGGGCGTATGCCGATGTAAGTTAGGTTGATTTTATTTTATAATGCAGACATGGCTTAAATCACCAGACCCCAGAAGAGAGACCTTAATTAGTGTGAAATGTTGGCCTCCAACAGAAGGTGTTATGTCCTGCCTCATAAGGAAGATCAAGCAACACCAGACAAACTATTGTGGAACATCAAAATGGACTTTCTCCCCTCTCCCCCCCATGAAGAGGAGATGTGCAAGTGAATTCTTCCCATCAGCTGAATTTGCAATTTGAAGCAGAAGGGGGGAAGGGATAAAAACCTCTAACAAGGAGGAACTATATCTTTATGCTGCTTGGACTATGAGGGGCAAGGATTATGAAGCATAAGCAAAAGATCCCCAGTGCTTAGCCTGGGTTAGCCCTAAAGGACACATAGAGGTTGCTTATTTCAAAACCTTTTTTTGAAACTTCAAATTGGAACTCATTTGTGTGTGTATATATGTTTACTTGATTTAATCTTGTAAATAATTCTATTTCTTTTTCCTATATAATAAATCTTTAGATAGTTTATTATAGGATTGGCTACAAGTGTTGTTTTTGGCGTGAAATCTAAGGTGCACTTGACCTGGGGTAAGCGGCCCTTTGGGACTGGGACTAATCTGAATGTTGCTGTGTTCTTTGGCGTAAGGGACCATCTATCACAAAGGCAAGCCTACCTGGGTGGCAAGACAGATTGGAGTATCGAAGGGGACTATCTGTGACTCCATGTTAAGGCTGTTTTAGTGCCTGAGGAGTTTACAGTTGATAATTGGTTGGTAAAATCGAAGTATAGAACTCTCAGCCAATTTGGGTTTTTTTGCTGTTTCCTAAGAGTCTGCCCTGAGGTTGGTACCCACACTCTTGAGCCACTGCAGGACAGACTGACATCTTAATTTTGTGGGGAGAACTTATCTTGGTGGGGCTATGTTGCAGGGGCTGCAATATTTGTGAAGCTCATATGGAGCACAGACCATACGGATGCTGAGAAACTGACAGTAAGTGTTGTTGGGCAAAGCAAATGAAACTTCTTGTCCAATGGGAGGAGCGGAGCCCACTTGAGATACTCACAGTGGGCTGCATAGATGGATGGTAGATGCAGTGTTGAAGAGAGGGATTGGATATGTCAGTCCAGAATTAGGATCCTAAAGATTAAAAATGATGGGATTTGCTGGCAGATCGTGCAAAGTATCTCAATGCAAAACCCACAGATTCTTATCTACAGGCACAGTGATTGAAGGTACCATTCGGAATAGGTATACTGAGTGAGTCACCTGTGGTTCCTTTAGAAACTTCTTTTATATTTTCAGAATTGTTCTTTGAAAATTGTCAGTGCTCAAGACAGCATATGAAACCTTAATGTTAAGGACAACCTTTTCAGACATGATCATTAGACATTCAGACATTAGGTGCCTCCTTTTGTGGGTTCTCAACTTGAGATGCATTGGGCCTAATATTTTAGAGGTGATGAGCATCTTCAACTCCCATTGATTTTATTTGGATTTGTGGTTGCTCAGTGCCTCTGATAATCAGATCCAAGCTATCCCAGGTTTTAAAACTGCCTGAAGGAAATTAAATCCAGCATGTCAGTTCCACTCCAGAACAAGGAGCAATGGTCTCAAGTTGCAGTGGGGGAGGTCTAGGTTGGATATTAGGAAACACTATTTCACTAGGAGGGTGGTGAAGCACTGGAATGCGTTACCTAGGGAGGTGGTGGAGTTTCCTTCCTTGGAGGTTTTTAAGGCCCGGCTTGACAAAGCCCTGGCTGGGATGATTTAGTTGGGAATTGGTCCTGCTTTGAGCAGGGGGTTGGACTAGATGACCTCCTGAGGTCCCTTCCAACCCTGATATTCTATGATTCACTCACTTAATAACTAAGCAGTAAAAGTTGGCTACAGATTTATGCTGGGGAAAAAGCCTCCAAATTTTTTGAATAGCCATGAAAGTACTTTAATGTGGCTACCTAAGTTTAGTATTTTTAAATACAGTAGTTCATTTTGTGTGCGCAGTCAGTAATGATAGAAAAACAAGCCTAAATTCTAAGAGGAAGTTTTTTTTTTCTTTCAACAGTCAGCTGTGGTAGCACTAAATTGTTTTCATCTTACACATACACCAAATGTCCCTTTTACTACCACTTTTACTACTCTCAGCAATTAAATTTCCAGTTAGTAGCAAAATGTGCAGAATTATGGGGTTAGGTTCAAGGGAGATCCAGGGTACAGGTCTGATAGGCAAACTTGCTCTAGAATAAAAGTTGTGTGTATAATACTCTTGTCTTCTACTATGAAAGATACAGACATGGATTGGGATGGATTTAATCTTTTTTAACATCTGATTTCTCTTGCTTACTTAGGTTGGTATTCTGAAAAAGATGTTTTTAAAACCTTTTACGTATCCACTACCCGAAACAAGGTTTCTTCATGCAGGCAGAAGTGTATATAAACTTAAAATCAGATATGGCAACTTCCTCAGGTAAGCAAGTTTCTTATTCCTAGGTATGAACCAAACCCATACTTTCACCCCACAACAGCATGAGGCTACAGTAAAAATGTATTGTACTGCTATCTCAAAATGAGGATTTTGGGAGATTCTTCATTTACTAAGCACTAGCACCACTTCTGAAGGTTCCAAACTGCAACAGTTCTATTTTTGGTCATGTAGGACTGGATATTTCAGCTTCAAAGTTCATTAACACCAGACTGAGCATTGGCCAGAGGGAGTTACCTGAGACTATGAAATGGTCTTCATGCTCTCTCTTCCAGACGAGTTGAGGACACTGCCCTTTTATTATTATTGGTGGAGCTCGTACCTATTACTGTAGTTAAGATTGCCTAACACTTTCCATTATAAGGCCTTGTTTTCAGTTGCTTATAATTTTGCTAAACTTTAAATGTTTTGTCTGAAACTTTCCTGTTGAGTATCTGCCTCAGACTTTTTTTGCAACTTTCATCTAAAATAGTTCAGCTATTTACAAGAATGAAGTTAAGGAAAAATATGTTCTTCTGCGAGTGATTGTTCATGTCCATTGCAAGCAGGTGTGTGCGCGCTGCGTGCACGCCAGCCGGAAGATTTTACTATAGCAGCGTTTGTAGGGTCGGCTTCGGCGCCCCCTGGAGTGGCGCCTTCATGGCGCTGTATATAGGGGCCAGCCGACCCTCCACCCCCTCAGTTCCTTCTTACCACCGGTGACGGCTAGCTGGAACTTCGCTTGCTCTTCAGCAATCGTAGCAGTGTTCCGTCATTGTTGTAAATAGTTAGTTTGTTGTTAAGTGTTAGCTTAGTTAGTTATTACTTGGGGGGTTTTCCCCAAGTCTTCGTCACCCCGCTGGGGCATGCCCGGGTCCCCAGGATTCAAACTCTGCCCGGACTGCGGGAAATTCATGCCGAAGAGTGACTCACACTCTTCGTGCTTGAGGTGCCTAGGCGAGAGCCACCAAAAAGACAGGTGCAGTATCTGCAGGGCTTTTCGCCCCAGGACTCTCAAAGATAGAGAGCAGAGACTTAAAGTCCTCCTAATGGAGGCGGCCCTGTGGCCGCAATCAGATCCCGGGCCTACTGAGACGGCACCGAGCACTTCATCCTCGGTGCGCAGTGCTCCGGCACCGGAGATGAGTCGTGAGGCCAAGGCCACCAAACCCCGGCACCGGAGAGAGTCGGCGCACAAGAAACCGTCCTCTGTGAGACACCGTTCCCCATCGCCAGTGCCAGTTAAAAAGAACAGGCCGGTGAGGGATCGTTCTCCACACCGGGACTCTAAAGGGCCGGCGCCGTCCACGTCTACTACAGGACAATTCGTGCCACAGACCCATCCGGCCATCCCATTGACTCCCGCCCCGGAGAGGTTATGGTCGAGTCCGGAAAAGCCTAGATTCCCAGACACGATGGAGGAAGTGCGCCTCCCATCGACGCCGGAGGCGTTCGAGGCCGCCTCAGACCTCTTGAACCTCCCGCTGCACCGGTGCAGAGAACCTCCGGCTACCGCTCGGCCCCATTATCAATCTAGGGGTAAACCGGCATTGCTCTCGCCGCGCTTCCCGCGCCGCGCCACTCTAGCGGCACCGGTGCAGACAGCACCCTCTACGGCGACAGTGGGTACCTCCTATGTCCTCCTACTCGGAAACTTCGGACTCGGAGGCGGACTCGTACTGCTCTAACAGATCGAGAAGTAGGCGATCGTCCTCGCGTACGAGTGCCCAGCCATACCCACCACAGTGGCAGCAGCAGCAGTGGCAACCGCCCCCTCAGTGGCCGTTCTGGACGCCATGGGCCTACCACCAGTCAGTGGGTCAGGCGTACGGACCCCGCTCATGAGCCGCATCTGTCTCTTCGACGTCCGCGGTACCGCCGCTAATGGCACCGGCACGGCTGTCTGACAGGAGTGTGCCACAAAGGGACACGGCACTGCCTAGCCAGACAACGGCACCAACGGGGACCTTGCTCCCAACACCGCAGGCACCGCCCAGCACGCCTTGTCGCTCGGTGTCGACCCCGGTACCGGCCGCGGTGCCGCATCCCGAGTCTGCACCGGCCGCGCAGCCTGAGTACCGTGTGCCGCAGGCCCTCGTAGAGGGAGAGGGGGTAGATGAAGGCCCTCCTCATCTCTTCCTCCTCATCTCTGGACGAGGCAGTAGCGGGAACTTCAGCGGCACCGGCTCTGGAGGACAATAGGATCCTCCAACAACTGCTTACTCGAGCAGCCCAAAGCCTCTCGATCCAGACTGAGGAGATCGAGGTGGACACGGATCCGGTGATTGATATCCTGACCCCTTCAGGCCCATCCAGGGTAGCCCTACCTCTCATAAAGACCATTACGGACACAACCCGCACCTTGTAGCAAACCCCTGCCTCATTGGCCCCTACGGCCAAAAGGACTGAGAGGCGATATTTCGTTCCAACCAAGGGCTATGAACATCTTTATACACACCCTCCCCCGGACTCCCTAGTGGTGGATGCCGCCAACCAGAGGGAACGCCAGGGTTTTCAGGGGGCTACGCCTAAAAATAGAGAGGCCAAAAAGTTGGACCTGTTCGGGCGCAAGGTTTATTCAACGGGGGGCCTGCAGTTGCGCATTGCCAATCAGCAAGCCATAGTGAGCCGGTATGGACACAACACGTGCTCGGCTTTGTCTAGGTTCACGTACCTCCTTCTGCAGGACTCGCGAACTGAGTTTTCAGCCCTGGTTGAGGAGGGAAGATTGATTACCCGGGCTTCCCTACAGGCGGCCCTGGACGCGGCCGATTCAGCTTCACGCACGTTGGTGACTGGTCTGGTCATGAGGCGTGGAGCCTGGCTTCAAGTGTCCGGCCTCCCTCACGAGGTCCAACAAACGATCCAGGACCTCCCTTTCGAAGGGCCCACGCCCTTCGGAGAAAACCGATAAGAGGCTTCATAGCCTAAAGGACTCACGGACCACTCTCCATTCACTAGGCCTCCACACCCCTGTCACTCAGTGTAGACAGTTTAGGCCACCGCAGGCCCCTCGGCCGTACCAACCTCAAAATCGAGGGGATGCCTTGCACAGAAGGCCAAGGACGGGCAGGAGGAGGCAACAACAGCAGCCCTTCAGCCGGTCTTCTACCCAGCCAAGGCCTACACAGGGGCCTAGACCACCATTTTGATGGCCCGGTCGAGGACGACCTACTGGTCAGAACTCTGGATCCTACCAACCTTACCTTTTCGTCACGTCTGTCCCCCCTTCTATCATGCATGGGCCCGGATCACGTCTGACGCTTGGGTGCTTCGCACGGTAAAGGAGGCATATTCTATCCAGTTTTCCTCCCTCCCACCCCACCAGCCCCCCTCCCCGTCCCTCTTCAGGGACCCTTCTCACAAGCAACTTCTACTTCATGAAGTTCAGCCCCTCCTCGCATCAGGGGCAGTAGAGGAGGTTCCTCAGGAGCTACGGGGCAAGGGCTTCTATTCTCGGTATTTCCTAATACCGAAAGCGAAAGGGGGCCTCAGACCCATTCTAGACTTGCGCGGTCTCAACAAGTTTGTGAAGAAGCTCAAGTTCCGCATGCTTTCCCTGTCCTTCATCATTCCTTCCATGGATCCAGGAGACTGGTATGCCGCCCTCGACTTAAAGGACGCATACTTTCATATTGCGATAATCCCTCGGCACAGGCGTTACCTCAGGTTTCTCGTGGGCAACGCTCATCTACAATTTACGGTTCTGCCCTTTGGTCTGTCAGCAGCCCCAAGGGTCTTCACGAAGTGCATGGCAGTCGTGGCTGCCTTCCTACGCAGGCACGGGATCCAGGTGTTTCCCTACCTGGACGATTGGCTCATCAAGGGCAGGTCCAGGGCGCAAGTGGAGGCTCAGGTGGTCTTTGCCAGGCAAACCTTCCTCGAGCTCGGCCTCCTACTCAACGAGGCCAAGTCCACACTATCTTCAACCCAAAAAATCGAATTCATAGGAGCGGTTCTGGACTCGACACACGCCAGAGCATATCTCCCAGAGGCCAGATTCCGGACTATATCCAACATTATTCTCGGCCTCCAACGTTACCCCACCACCACAGCAAGACGCTGCCTCAAATTACTAGGGCACATGGCAGCATGTACCTACGTGGTGAGACACGCCAGACTCAGACTGCGCCCACTCCAGTCTTGGTTGGCACGGGTTTATCGGCCAGTCAGGGACTCCCTAGAATCGGTGGTGACGTTACCTCGGCCGGTGCTGGACTCCCTTCAATGGTGGCTCGACCCGCCATTGAAGGGAGTTCCTTTCCTCGACCCCTCTCCCTCCCTCTCCCTGGTAATGGACGCATCGGATCGGGGATGGGGTGCACATCTGGGCGACCTCAGAACCCAAGGCTTTTGGTCACAAGAGGATCTTTCGCTCCACATCAATGTCAGGGAATTACGAGCTGTGCGCCTCGCATGCATAGCCTTCAAATCCCAGCTGGCAGGCAGGTGCGTTTCTGTCCTCACGGACAATGCTCCAACGATGTTCTATATCAACAAACAGGGTGGTGCTCGCTCCTCTCCCCTTTGCCGGGAAGCCCTCGCATTATGGGACTTTTGCGTACAGAACGTAATTCACCTGACAGCATCCTACCTCCCCGGGGGCACAAAACGGGCTCGTGGACGCACTCAGCCGCTCATTCCAGGGTCACGAGTGGTCTATCCGGTGGGATATAGTTCTCTCAATTTTCCGGCTCTGGGGTCATCCCCAGGTGGATCTGTTTGCCTCCACCGAGAACAGGAAATGTCACCAATTCTGCTCCCTCAGGGGACCCAGTCCGGGGTCCCTAACAGACGCCTTTCTCCTCTCTTGGACAGACGGGCTATTTTACGCCTTTCCCCCAATTCCCATGATTCACAGAGTAATCCTCAAGGCCCGCAGAGATCACGCTCGGCTCATCCTGATAGCGCCGGCGTGGCCGCGCCAGCACTGGTACACATCTCTCCTGCACGTGTCTATGTGGGTGCCACTCAGGTTGCCCCTACTCCCGGACTTGATCACACAG